GGGCGGCAGGGATGCACCCTCCAGGGCTGTCCCCAAACCTGCCCCATGTTAAGGTGTCTGTCCTGAGTGCCGGACAACAGGCACAAACCTGAGTTTGGGTCTGAAAAGGAGTATAGGGCAGGGATCATCATGAGACGTGTGTGGGACCCAATGCCCCTCAGGACCGCCGGCACGTCTCACCTGGGCTCCCAGCGCACTTGAAATGGGTCTGACCAAGAGTCAGGGTCTGGCTGGGGAAATGAGCAGGGCCTGGCTCCCTCTGCCCCTGGGGGACACAAGGGTACTAGATACACCCAAAGATGCTGTTGCTGTAGCCCCAAGAAGTAGCTGCCCAGAGACCCAGGGCCGGGCACAGCCTACCCAATATGTGGATTTAGTGACCAGGATCTTCCCGGAGTACCTGCCCAGGGCTCTCAACCCAGTGCCGCAGCAGCCTGGGAGTGCTCTACTGCCTGTGGACCACCAGGGTGCCCACAGGGGTGGCACCTGGCACAGTTGACAGCATAGCCTCAGGGCCAGGCTGGCGACCAGGGCCACCGGGGAGTGTCAGGCAAAGTGTCCCTGGAACCAGGGTGGGCTACATAACCCGCTGGGCCCAGTACAAAATGTGCACGCAGAGGGTTCCAGAATGGCCACAGCAGAGCTATAGACAGGCAGGCAGGCTCAGTATCAGACCCACTCCAGGTTTGGAGACTGGCAGCTGCATGGGGCACTGACCGGCACTGCTGCCCCAAGAGACGGAGCCCAGCCATGGAAAAGTGGGAATGCCTGTCTCCTCCTCGAGTATGGGCTTGGGGAGGTGTGGTGTACGCATAGCTGAGGGCTTTTGGAAGATTGGAAAGTAGGGTGCTGTGTTAGGGTTCTCTAGAGAGACAAAACCAGATTGCTAGTAATTATATATATATATATTTATATATATAGATAACACAAGAAATAAACAGTTAAATTGTAAAGCAGTACAAATGGCTCAGTACAATTCAAATGTGTTAGACAGTTGTGAGACACTGGCAGTCCTTCAAGTCTTGAGGGCCACCAGGGAGTCCACTGTAGAGAGATTCACGCTATCCCGGCACAGGCAGCAAACAGCAAGGCAGGTCACCAACAGTCAGCCAGATGACGGTCCGACAGTCCCCAGCTCAAGAGATGTAAATTCCAATGGTGTGGCGAAGCAGGTCTTGAAGGAACCTCAAATTACAGCGACAGTCCGTGGGTTAGGTGTCCCACAGGACACCTAGTCTAGCTTGCAAATGGAGTCACAGAACAAGCAAGGAAGCCGCACACTGGTCCGATGATCAAAGCAAGAGACAAGAAAGGCGAAGCTCGCCAAGCCATTTACCTCTCTGCCCTTCAATTAATCCCCCATGTGTTTCTCAGCCAGGCTGGCACAATAAACTAACGACCTCAGGTGCCCTTAGGGGAGGCACATGTGGGACAGGCCCTCGGACAGGGGACAGATGACAGCGGCAAGCACAGCCTGCTGGGTCCAAAGGACACAGACAGTTCTGGAGGCTGGGAGGCAGCTCTGCCAGGCCTTTGCTGTGGCCTAGTCAGGGCTGAGCAAGAAGGACCATTCAGGGTATCCTCTGCTTCTGAGACTCAGACTGCCACTCCTGCCCCCTGTGGCTGCAGTAAGAACACTAACGACTTGGGGCACCCAAGTGTCCATCTTTGAAACCCATGCTGCTTGTTTAACCGCCCCAAACTGCAGCACCTTGTGGTCCCCCATCACCGGGGCAGGAGCCACAGGGAGCAAGGTGGGCAAAGGGAGAAGCTGACTGGGGGCCAGCCCCAGGGGGGGGCTCTGCAGTTGGAACAGCCCTTCAGAGGAGGCTTTCCCAGTGCCAGCAGGGCCATACCTTGGGTTCCCATGCCCACCAGACACGACCCTGGCCACTCTTAGGAGGAAGTGGTCTTGGGCCAGGAGCTCTCTACAGTTGAGGCGTCCACTCCAGGTACCCCACAGAGGGGCAGAAGCTTCCAGAGGGTGGGTGATTCTGGTCTGTGTCACATGTCCACCATGGGAGGGGCAGTGGGACAAGGACGAGGCCCACATCTGGGCCCCAGGGGAGAAGTGGGGGCAGTCCTTAGGGGAGGCCGGGGGCCGTGAGAATGGAAAGGTGGAGGGGCAGCCGCAGAGGAGGCCAGGATGACCACCAAGGCCTTGGGCCAGGAGGTGGTGGGACCAGGAGGAAGCCCTGCATAGGGCGCCCCTGCTGGGGTCTCCAATGAAGGGGTGGGCACAGCTTTGGGTGGGGGAGAAGAGGAGAGGCCCAGGGGCCAGGAGCTGGGCCTCCAGAGGCTGGCCATCCACTGCCCTGTCGCTGAGCCACTGCTGCCCTCTGGTGGCAGCCTCCCCTCCCTCCCCTGTTTCTGGCTCTCCATTGGCTCCCTCTTAAAACTCTCCTGGGGAGAGGGGAGGATGGGGACAAAGCTGTGCTTGGGCATGGGTGCACCTGGGGAAGCCTACCACCCGACGGGTCACCTGTGTGCTCTCAATATGGAAACAGCTGCCTCAGTGTAGACGTGTTACAAGACCCTACCCAAGGCCGAGGGCCCCTGAAGGCAGATGGGACCTCAGCCACCTTGGGCTGCTGGCTGATCTCATGAGTGCAGGAGACCCTTGATCCTGGACAGGAGGCTGGAGGTGACTGCAGGAAGCCAGATGGGGGCAGGCTTGACCAGATGTTCGGTGCCTCTGCCTTGCCACTACCCCTCACCATCTGGCCCTGGCAACATTTCTCTCGACTTTGCTTATTTCTTAACAGAGACATGGCATTTTTCTGCCTAGTGGCAGTGGGGAAAGAAAGCAGGCAGGCTGGCCAGGCTGGCTCAGAGGGTGTGGGAGCCTTGGGGCCCCTTCCTGGTTGGACATTTTCTGTCATAAAATGAAAAGCTTTCTAAAACTCCTGAAACTCACGTGTTGTCTCCATTTGCTTTGATTTGGTTCCTGGTAAGATAAAGTCTCATTTCTTGTGCCCTGAGTCCCCTGCCAGCCCCTGGCTGGGTGGTGGGGGGTTGTTTCTTGCCGAAATCAGGTGATCAGCTCTGGGTGTGTTCAGCACACATGCTCACCGATCCTTTAGGATTTGCTGGTCTATTGTGTGTGAAGAATCCTAGGTGTCTGATAGCCCAGGCTGCCCACAGCCCCCCCTGTAGTTCATGTGGCAATACTCCCAAATTGCAGAACCCACAGCCCCTGTTGACCCCACTGTCCTGGGATGATTGGCTGTGACCTGCTAGAGACCCCTCAGTTCCTGTCCTCTCCTTGGATGAGGCTGCTGTGCCCGAGGGTGTGGGATAGCCGCTGCTGTCCCTCCCGCTCTTGCTTCCCACTCCACCCACAAGGCTGACCAAGCCCAAGAGAATGGCCTGCAGCACCCAGCCTGGCACCTGCACCTAGATGCACTCCTGTGCTCGGAGCCCTCACCCTTCGCCCCGCTCATCACGCCCAAGACCTTGCATCCAGCTTGCTCTGCCGCCACACAGGTTTGCGGTGGTCTTGCTGTTTGCGGTCTGCAAGAAACACCTTCCCGGCCCACCTCGCCTGCAGCTGTGGGGCCCTGTGAGGAACAGAAGGATTTCTCTTAAGTTGTCTCCCCAAAGTATATGCCAGACTTAGCTTGAGAATGACTGTTCATTAGGCGGCGAAAATAGGTCAGAGGTTATTCTCCCTAACATCAGTCATCTAGACTATAGTCTGACTCACCCTAAGTAAGACCCACTCCCTTCTGATAAGGATAGTGGTTGTGTTTACTTGTAGGAGATACCAGAGAAGGCAAACCCGCCCAAGGGTGACCAAGGTTAGGTAGCTATTATCAGCTGTCTAGATCAGCAGACACCACTGCTTATCCCACAACAAATGTGGGCACACCCCTAGGTCATCCCCCTCCTATTGATTGTATTGCCTGTGTTACTACCCCTCCCGGTGACTTAGGTTATTGTCCGCTAACAGGGGACTTGCATGCCTCCCAGAATAGTAGTTGTCTGTTTTATTATATGAGATACCAGAGTGATCAAACTTGCTCTAGAATGAATTGTATTGCCCCTTTCTGTGATGTATGACTCTGTAATCAGATTCCCCCTAAAGTGATATGATGCGTAGTTAGCAATAAATAATAAGGCTCCCTTGTTCTCGAGAGGGTGGCTGGCCGAGGAGGGCTGGCTGAGGGTGGCTGGAGAAGGTGGCTAAGGAGGACGAAGCAGCGGCTTCTTCTCTGATGACTGAGCCCCCTCCACGAGGACCATCAAGCGGAGCTGAGGTGAGCAATGCTACCATGAATTGCGTCTGACTCCATTACTTGACTCCCTCCTTTAACTCTCATGC